TCGATCTGTTTTAAAAATTTGGTACCAGTTTAGGAAGCACTTCAAATTTCACTCTGCATCTACACTTGCCCTTTTAATGAAGAATAATTTGTTTCAACCAGCACTCACTGATCCGACCTTTTCATTATGGAGTAATAAAGGGCTGACATGTTTTAACAATTTTTACAAGGAAGGTATTTTTTGCAGGTTCACAAACCTTTCATCAGAATTTCAACTCCCCCCCTCTCATCTATTCCTGTACTTTCAGGTTAGGCATTGCGCCAAAGCTTTATTTCCCAGTTTTCCTTCCAGGCCGCTGAACTTGCACTGGGAGATGTTTCTGAGCTGGGATCCTCTTCAGAGTTCATATATATCTAAAGTCTACCATGAAATTCTGTCTTTTGATTCTTCGTCCATTACCAAGGTCAAAGCGGCTTGGGAGATCGAACTGGGTCTAAATTTGGGAGAGGACTGGTGGAATAATGCTCTTAAGAAAATTCACAAGTTCAATCTGTGCACGACTTTCTCTCATACAATTTAAAGTTCTCTTTAGGGTTCATTTCTCCAAAACTCGTCTGTCTAAATTCTTTCCCTCTGTCTCTGACAATTGTGACAAATGTTATGCATCTTCCTGCAATTTAACTCATATGTTTTATTCCTGTCCATCACTCCACAGTTTTTGGCTAACCTACTTTGATACAATGTCAAAAATACTCTCAGTAGTCATCAAACCTTCTCCCCATGTTGCTATATTTGGGCTTCCGGATGATTACAAACAGTTCACTTCTAACCAGTTGAATATTCTAGCATTTACTTCCTTACTGACAAGACGGCGTCTTCTTTTTCATTGGAAGTTAACAGTTCCACCTTCTAGTGGCCAGTGGTTTAAAGACACCATGTCTTTTCTAAAATTGGAAAAGATAAGATACTCATTGAAAGGCAACCCCGCTAAATTCTATATCTTATGGGGCTCTATCATGAGATTCTTTCATTCTATTCAGTCCCCTTTCCTAGATTAGATTAGGTGATGCACCCTACCCCACACCCACCCTCCATTTTTATTTTGTTTCTTTACTTATTTTTATTTTATTTTATTTATTTTTATTTTTATTTTTTTTATACATTGTATTCTGTTCAGTTTTGTAAGGAAAAAAAACCCCACAGGAGCTAAATTGTATGCCTTTTACTACTTTACTATCCATATATATGTATGTTCGATATGGTATACCCTGTCGTTTACAGTTTAAATTATGTTTGTAATGTCTCTCTTACTCCTAATAAAAATATTAATACAAAAAAAAATGGAACAGGCAGGCTCAGAGGTCCAGGAGTCCGAGCCCAGGTCAGGCAAACAGGAAAGAACAGGAATAGAAAGCTCAGTGGTTGAGACACACAACAGGTCAGGATCACCTTATCAGCAACACCAAGAAGTTCTTAAAAACACTCTTACCACTGGCTAGGGAGAACAAGAATAATCTGTCCCCGATGACTGGATGAAAGCACCTTAAATAGAGAAAGGAGCAGGTGGATCAGATGAACAGGGATGAGTAACCTGGCAGAGTTACACAGGGGAATGGAGTTAGTAAATAAGCCATTCATCAGCACCAAGATCATGACAGAACCTTTCCCATAAGGCCGGATTCCTGACACCCTCCTGGGCTCTTAAAGCCTAAAACAAACAAAAAAAAAAAACCCGAAACAAAATGGTGGGGTTCAGATAGACCGGACAATAGTAACAACAACCCCCAAACAGTTCAGGGGGAAACAGGCGTGGCCTCTGAGTCTCCTAACAGCAAACGGGGAAGCAGCCTGACCAGACAGGCAATACAGATCCTCCTATATACAGTACAGACCAAAAGTTTGGACACACCTTCTCATTCAAAGAGTTTTTTTTATTTTTATAACTATGAAAATTGAAAATTCACACTGAAGGCATCCAAACTATGAATTAGCACATGTGAAATTATACACTCATCAAAAAAGTGTGAAACAACTGAAAATATGTCTCATATTCTAGGTTCTTCAAAGTAGATACCTTTTACTTTGATTACTGCTTCACACACACTTGGCATTCTCATGATGAGCTTCAAGAGGTATTCACATGAAATGTTCTTCCAACAGTCTTGAAGGAGTTCCCAGAAATGCTTAGGACTTGTTGGCCCTTTTGCCTTCACTCTGCGGTCCTGCTCACCCCAAACCATCACGATTGGTTTCAGGTCTGGTGATTGTGGTGGCCAGATAGCTAGAACTTTATGTGGCATTGACCTCTAATCTAAGCTGCTGTTAACCTGTGATTTTCTGAGGCTGGTGACTAGGTTGAACTTATCCTCCACAGCAGAGGCAAGAGCAGGTAGATCAGATGAGCAGTGATCCAGGCAGTGAGGCAGGCCCAGAGGTTGAAAGGCAGAACAGGTCAGGATCAGGAAATTAGAAACACCAAGGCACTCTAAAAATACTCTCACCACTGGCTAGAGAGAACATGAATAATCTGACCCTGATGGCTAGATGAAAGCACCTTAAACAGAGGCAGGAGCAGGTGGAACAGATGAGCAGTGATGAGAAACTGGAAGGAGTTAGACAGGTGAATCGAGTTAGTAGGTAAGCCAGTCATCATCAGCAAGACAGTGATAAGGATCTTTTTTTAAAAGGCCTGTCAATTTTCCAGAATTGGTAGATTTTTTTATTTTGTAGAGTATTGTATCTCTAATTTAGAAACCATTGCATAGTTGTGTTTTAAGAAGAGGGTCAACCCACCATTGATACGGTACCCATTTCCAGTTCTTAAATTACACTATAAACCTTTCACTGGCTTAATAATCGAACATTTACTATGAAAAAGTGAGGCTTTATTTTTGAAAATTTTAGTTGGTTCTGTTGTGAAAACATAGTGATAGTCAATTTTCCAAAATTGGTTGATTTCAAGAACTTAAATTGATCTTTATGCCACGATGGTCTTCGGAGGGAAATATTAAGGCTTTTATTTTGAAAGTAATTTAAAAAAATGTTCTTTTAATCTAACATGGTTGTTTCTCATAATGAGCTTAAACTGGAGGTGACAGAATTTTAGCTTAGATTATCTGAGCTTCCGTGCTTGAAACACCAGTGCCCCAACAACAGGTTATTCTAGTGCTAGCCAAAAAGAAAAAAATTTTTTTTACTACTTTAAAGCTGAAGTCTGTAAGTTTTTAAAAATCACTTAAAACTTAAAACTGTCCCTATGCACAGACAGCAGTACATGTGATATGTAACCTGTGAAAAAAACTGCTTCAATTGGTACCGCATACTGCCTGTATTTCAATCTGGAAAGAATAATTCGGGACGAGTCAAAACAACCAATCACAGCCAGAGGAGCGTCTGATGGAGTGTCAATCACAGCTCACACACGCTGAATCCCGCCCCCCCCCCCACCCCCCCTTCTGGTCGCATGCGGTAGCCGCGCAGATGCTGTGAGAGGGGTGGAGCTTGGAGGTGGGGCATGAGTGAAGCAGAGAGGGTGGGGGAGTGGCGTGAAACCTGTTTTTCTTCAAATTTTCAGTCGAAGTCTGCTCTCTCCTCAATGTTACAGACTGCAGCTTTAAGACTTTTGGAGTTAAAACATTTTCAGCAAAACTGAGCACAAGTCTTGTTGGCTCCAGTTTAAGTCGATTCCATGGTAACAAACTGTGATATAGTTTGGTTCTGTTCTATACAAACAAAACAGCAAGATAATGAATACTTTATTTCACTATTTTGAAACTGTTATACTTCAAAATGGACTGTCTTGGGCTGCTTTTTAATGTCATTGCAAAAATCACATCAGTTGCTGACAGTAACATTCTATGACACTGTTTACCCCATGCATGACAGCATTACAGAACTTGATACTACCTTTATACTACCATCACTGCTCCCAGCAGATCTGCTGTGCTGTTTATCATTGCTATTATTTGCATAGGTCTAAATTAGTGTACCATTATATTTATTCATGATATTTTTTGTGATATCAGAGAGTAAATACTTTGTACAGTTCGTCCATTATCTTACGGGGCACTTCCTTTTATAGATATTATGTTTGTAGATTCTGTCGAGGCTCAGAAAGTAGGACCCAGAATTCAGGCAGACAGAACAGATGTATTCAAAAATGAAACACTATATTGACTGCTCAGGACACTGTGGCTTGTCAGCTGGGACCGGCTTACAAGAATTTCTGTAGAGATAGATACTCAGATTAGTTCCACTAGCAAACAAGGCCAGACAGGATTCCTTCTTCAGCTTGATGCCATCCCTTACTTCTGGGCACCACCACCGGGTTTGGGGATATGCCGACGCGACAGGCACCAGAGACCTAAGGGCCACAGCTACGAATGGCCGCATCGACAATGGTGGAGGAGAACATTGACCACTCTGACTCCATGTCTCCAACCTCCGTCAGGAACTGGGAGAAACTCGTCCAAATGTGGTAGTTAAAGACTGTGAAACAAAGGGATCCACTTGATGTTCCCAACAGTCCCTCAAAACACGCTGACCGGCTTCCTCCCCTGCCAGCAGATCCAGTAACCACCAGGTGGTGATCAGTTGACAGCTCAGCTGAGTGTCCGAGATACGTGACCGCAGATCAGATGACACAACTACAAAGTCGATCATCGACCTCCGGCCTAGGGTGTCCTGGTACCACGTTCACTCGTGGACGCCGTTGTGCTCGAACATGGTGTTCATTATGGACAAAATGTAATTAGCACCGAAGTCCAATTACAGAACACCACTCGGGTTCAGATAGGGGAGGGCGTACCTACCGATCACACCTATTCAGGTCTTACTGTCGCTGCCCATGTGGGTGTTGAAGTCCCCCAGTAGAACAATGGAATCCCCAGTTGGAGCACCATCTAGTAACTTTCCCAAGCACTCCAAGACGGACGGGTACTCTGCACCGATGTTGGGCCCATAGGCCAAGACAACGGTGAGAGAGACCTGTCTCCAATTTGAAGGAGACTCTCTTGTTCACCGGGTTGAATTGCAACACATGACAACTGAGATGGGGGGCAATGAGTAAGGCCACCCCAGCTCGCCGCCTCTCCCCGTGGGCAACGCCAGACAAGTGGAGCGACCAGTCTCTCTCCGGCAGATGGGATCCGGAACCCAACCTATGTGTAGAGGTTAGCCGGACTATATCCAGCCGGTACCTCTCAACCTCCCCCACAAGCTCAGGCTCCTTCCCCCTACAGCCAGAAGCTGTCGAGGAACCCCGCCTCGACCACCACCCAGTCCTCTCAGCACCTGACCCCTACGGATCCCTCTGCGGCTGGTGGGTCCACAGGACGGCGGGCCCACATCGTCAATGCGGGCTGAGCCCTGTGGGCAAAGGCCCGGCCACCAGGCACTCACATGCAAGCCCCAACCCCAGGCCTGGCTCCAGGGTGGGGCCCTGGCCGCACTGTACCGGGCGACGTTGCGGTTCTTGATCTAAGGCTATCCATATTGGTCTTGTGAGCTGTTCTTAGTCTGATCCGTCACCTTGGACCTTTTTGCCATGGGACTCCACCAGATTAAGGTGGCAGCTCGTAGGGTGTATATTCTATTCTATTCTTTTCTATTCTAGAAACATCATATCCATACATATAATGCCTCAACCATTTAAGAACCATTTATTTTCTACAGAAGTTATCAATTAATGGTTAAGATTCTCACAGATTATTGTGGTGTGATTATGTGTACAGGCAACAATGTGATAAGTTGTGTCAGACTCACACAAGTATATTATTGGAAAAGGGAAAGGTTATCTTTGTGTCCAGTCAGCCGAGTTGTAATAATCATTTCTTATATAGGCAGAGAAAGAGCCTTAAAGTTAACAGTTAAATTCCTGTGTTTTTTTGTGTTCAAATTGTATTTTATTACAATTATACTTTATATAATGATAAAAATATATTATAGCTGATGATGATAGAAATAGAAATATTTCGACAATTTTGGGAAAACTTCTCTCTTATTTTTCTCTGAACTTTCTGAGCCCCCTCTAATGCCCCCTGATTGTCCTAAATTTTGAAAACAACTGACTTAAGAGACAGGACAATAAAAGTGGGACTAAATCATAATCTATTTGGGTTTTAGTTAACAGATTAAATAGAACGTTTGAATGAAACTCGATATTGCCAATGGATGTGCTTCACATGTATCCAGGGTCAGCTGGAAAATAATTGTCTTGTGCTCCCTCTTGTGGACGCATGACACATTCATTTCAGTGCCTAAGTACTTGATTTTTATTTGTATTTTATGTGTGTGTCCTCAAGAAATATTCCCTATGAAGCAATGCAAGCTTTATCCGGGCTTTAGGGCAGCAGAGTGACTATAAATTGTAAAAAGATAACATGATTTCATGTTCGTTTTAGTTTACTTAATGTGTAGCTGAAATGTTTGGGATGCAAAATAGTATTATACAACATTTGGTGTCCCTTTTTTGCTGTCGTTAATTTCCTACTCATCATAAACATAGAAATGATATTTTTCAGCACAAAACAGATTCGTCTGACACTGAAAGGCTTAATATCATCGTCTATAACTGCTCCATTGTGGATGTCTTTACTCAGCATTTATGACAGTGCATAAAGAAAGAAAGAAAGAAAGAAAGAAAGAAAGAAAGAAAGAAAGAAAGAAAGAAAGAAAGAAAGAAAGAAAGAAAGAAAGAAAGAAAGAAAGAAAGAAAGAAAGAAAGAAAGAAAGAAAGAAAGAGTGGTTTATTATATGAAATCAGTTGTATTTAGAAAGAAGGGAAAACTGAATTTAGGAAGTTGCACAACATTCTACTCTTATTTACTTGCTTAGTTGTTCCCCATCTATTTCGGTTTACACTCTTCCCATTCCCTTCATCTCTGGGGCTTTGCTTGAGTACAAACCCCTGACACAGTTCAACCTATAAAAAAAGTCAAACGCTGCTCATTTTTGGAGCGTCAGAATGCTCCTCAATACCACCGTCTGTTTGTCGGTGGATTTCGACCGCACAGAAGATTTCCTCGTGTTCATCTTCCACATCTTGTTCGCCACCAGTGCTGTGCTGGTGGCCGGCTCAGTAGTCGTCGGGATCTCAACCAGCCGATCCTTGCGAGGCCAGAACCGGTTCATCTTCATGCTGAACACCAGCATCAGTGACACCCTGACCGGCTTCTCGGTCTACTACCTCGGCCTCTTCGACGTGAAAGAGGGATACCCCTCCAGGAACGGGACCTTCTACATTTTACCATCATTCCTCGGTGTAAATGTCCTTACCTTCCTTTTCGCCCAGTTTGACCGCTACCTTGCAGTGTGTCACCCCTTCTTCTATAACCGCTACATAACAAGGCCTGCTGTCATTTATATGTGTAGCTTCTGCTGGATTTATACTTATCTGATTCTGACTGTGCAGAACTTAGTGCCCATCTCTAGGGCGGCTCAGATACACGCGTTCGGTGTGATGACCCTGCAGGTCATAGTTCTCATTAAGGTGGTCATGACGTTTAAATTATATATCATAGCCAGGGGCCAACTGGTGAGAGAGGCACCCAGCGCAGACAGGGATAGCAAGAAGGAGTCTCTGCGCATCATTGTGTTTGTGGTCATATGCTTCCTGGCTCTTTGGGGTCCTTCTTTTGTGAACATTATTGTCAGGCAGCTGACTGGAAAAGGGCTCAGTTTCAGAAATGAAGCCACTAATCTTTTTGCCACCATGGCCCGGATGAATGCGCTGGTCACTCCAGCTGTGTACATCTGGGGTAGCCCTGCGCTACGGGCGGCCGTGTGGAGAACAGTGTGGCGGAGGGCATGCCCAAGGAGAAGGGGGAGGTAGAGTTTTTTTTTTAAATTCTTTTTATGTAACATTTTGTTTTATGGTTTACATGTATCAAAAATACACATTTAACACGGTGTAATCATGCTGTTTTACAGAGTGGCCTTTAATGTGACTGGAGTGACCTTTAAGGAGACACCTTCACCATCTAAGCTACCATAAAGAAGATAGACGTGGTATAAAGCCAGGTTTCACAAGGAAAAGGCTCAATATCTTGTTTATTTACTGTATTTGAAGGACTGTGGAATTTTAATACCATGTACGAAAATGAAAAATAGATGTGGCAAACGATTGATCTCTCTTTTATTTATTTTTTTTCCAATTTGTTTTTTTGTATGAGGATAATTGCATAACAGGGATGCTGGTTGATCATGCTAAAAGCCGGGAATTGAACCCAGAACCTTGCGTTATGCGTAATGACAGTCATGTGACCAGCTCTGAAATGACGGGAAACTTCAAGCAAAGTCTTTGTGAATTTAAAAATCCCAGCAATGAAGAAAGTTTGCACCAATATATTATAAGCGGATCTTGTGTATTTTAAAGTAAATCACTATTTAAACTTAGTTGGAAAGATTACAATCTGCCATAACCTCGTGTTCATAGCTCCCATTAAAAGTAACTTATTTTTGATTTAACCCACATATGTTTCTATAGCTCTGAATAGACTGGATTGTATTCATATTTAATCATTTACTTAAATTTGAACGAAATGACCAAAACCTTAAAAACTAGTTCAAACTGCTTTGCAAACAACTGCTCTGCATATCGAGAACTGCCCAAACTAGATTTATCGCTCAATCACATAAAAGTAATAGATAGATAGCGACTCGGTCGTTCGGACACAGGCCGCATTTGAACAGATTGAGATGTGTTTTGGATTTAGGATCACATTGCCTTTAAAAAAAATCTAATCTGTTTAGTTCAGACTATAGATCAGATTCGGGTCACATGGCAAAACATCTTATTTGGGTCACTTCAGGCTGCAGCATGAACGTACTAGAAATGTTAAGGTTCAGTACCTCGGAGAGCTCCTCTGTGTCGCGGACACACTTCAAATCTTCCAAAAAAATAAATAATAGGAACACATATAAGCGTGGCGTCCTATAATATTTGATAACACAAACGGAAAACATAGGTCGATATGTAACATTACCTTTTAGCCACATAATTTTTCATGTTGACAAAAATGGTCCTAGGTCCAGCCTGTATGTTATATTCCAGATAGGACCTAATGCTTCTTGACTTTAGTAATTAATGTATTTTCCCACAAGGGCAGGATATTTTAGAGTTCATTAACTCTCATATTAACGTGTTATGTTACCGTACCTGTATCTCACTGAAACTGCTCTTATAAACATCATTCTCTTAGATGATTTTCTGATTAAAGCACTCCTTCTCTGCTATTTTCCTGCTGCATTTAGGCATTTCTTGGTAAGTTTGCAGTTATATTGTGTCAGATAAAAACAGTAATAACAGTGGACTACCCCACAAATGTATCTCAATGTGATCTCTTCCTGATGCTCTTTGGTCACTAATGTTTAATATAAAATGGTGTTGAGTTATTCATGAATGATTCTTTCAACATTTTTTCCAGTGATCAAACTAAAATTGAATCACTTTCATCAACCGATTCATCACCTCCTCATTTCAGTTTTAGTCAGGGTGAGCTGGTCGGGAATTTAAGCTCCATGAAACTCAAATAGACTAATGCATGTGTTACTTGAGATTTGTCAAGCCAGCCTAAACACAGAGAATTGCTTCTGAGGATTGAATCACTAAGTAGTTACCGGAACTAGTGCGGGTTCAATCAATCTTGCTCGGGGTTGTGACTGTAATGATTCACTACCTTGGCTGCACAGATCAGATCATGATTCGAGATCCCACAACACCGATGAGGAGAGATTTGCAGAGCTGATTCACCCTCCTCCTAAGTGTACAAATCAGGCCATTTTTTTCACGCCAAGATTGATAAGCCTGTGTTGCGGTTCGGAGAAATCTCAATGTGAATGAACCACACCTTAGAGGGGTACTGTGTCACTCACTTATATATTGCAGCAATGAACTTAGTTAGGGTGGATATAAGAATAGAATAGATAGTACACTGATTTATGTTTTGAATAATTTCTTAACACGACCCGGAAAGTGTTTATTTCCGTTATTTATTATGTAAAATTCATATAGAGAAGTAGACCTATACTTGTAGCTTTTTTTTGTCACCTGGGCCAAATAAATCCAGTGAGAGTGCGGCCTAGTGGTTAGGGCACAGATCTTGGAATCCTGAGGTTCTGAGTTCGAGCTCCACTACCCCAGAATGCAACTCTGGGTCTCTGAGCAAGGCCCTTTGCTCCCGGGCGCCCCACGAACCCAACCCACTGCTCCCCAAGGGGATGGTTTAAATGAAGAGATACCTTTCTCCGATATAAGTTCAAGTATTATTATGTTACTTTTATAAGGTAAGGTTATACCCTGAAAAGTCCGTCTAATCCTATTTTAACTTTACTGAACACACTAAAATCATTAAAGCCATATTCTAAATGGAAGGGGATACAAAATGCATTTGAAGCTCTATCAAAATGACATTAATGGTGAACAAGTCCATGCTTATTCCTTATTTTTAAAGGAAAGGAAAATGCACCTACTTGAAACTAAACATTAACGAATGAATCATTTGAGTGAATCATTTGAATTAACCAATTATAGTGATTCTCTGAAGAACCAGGCTGAATCACCACTGAGGCTTTAACATAGCAGTTGAATTGATTCAGCGCTTAAATGGGTGGACTCGGTTAAAAATAGGAATATGATACTTCTGTGGGCTTTCTCTGCGTACAGTGGAAAACAATCTACAAATAAGTAAAAAATTCTTAATTAAGTGTATTTAAACTTAATTTGAGTAGTTAAATAAGATAGTTTGCCAATGGATTGAGTATTTTTACTCCTAAAATAAGATCATAAGATAATATACACTTGAAATAAGACAATGCAAATGTGTTTTCTTATTTTAAGTGTAAATTGTCTTGTTCATTTAGGAATTTTTTTCTTTTACCTCCTCAATCCAAGAACAAATGCACTTATTTTAAGAAAAAATTACTTATCAAGATTTCGATTTTTTTTCCCAGTGCAACTATTTTCTTTCCTGATGACGCCCTTATTTGGAACCGTTTTATTATCTTGTGTTATTGTCACGTCATTCATTAGAACTTGCTGCATAATTTAAAACATCAACCCACCCTTTTCAAAAAAATCAAAAGCACAGCATCACTTCTTTTACGTTCAAAATGGGCTATGTTGTTTGCAAGCCTTACGTGCATTTTACCACGACTACACGCTTTTTAGTCTCCTCCCCATGCGGTGTCGGCACCCCATACCCTCCTACATAATAAACACCTTATTGCCCCTCAGTCGACCAAAAGCAATTGGATTTTAAACAGCTTATGCAGTGATCTCCAGTTTGATAGGCCTTAATCTGCTCTCACAATGATCGGAACGAACAGCAGCTTTCTTTCCCTGTCTGTTGACTTCAACTCCCTAGGAGACTATTTCCTCTTCATCTTTCATGTCACTGCTGGGATCAGCACCGTCCTGGTAGCAGGTTCCGTGGTGTGCGGTATCATTGCCAATCGGACACTTTTTACTCAACACCGTTTTATATTTATGTTGAACACCAGCATCTCTGACACACTGACCGGTTGTGGCATTTTCTATCAGTTTCTGTTTGATGTAGAGGTGGGGTTTAACACTCTGAGCTGGGCTTTTTACATCATCCCCACTCTGCTTGGGGTTAATATCCTGACCTTTCTATTCGCGCAGTTTGACCGATATTTTGCTGTGTGCCATCCCTACATATACGGTCGCTTCATCACCACAAAGGTTGTCATCTGTGTGAACGCCTACAGCTGGGTTCACATGTATTGCCAGGGGCTTCTCCAACACCTGTTGCCTAGATCTAAACTCTCACATATGGTCATTTATATCAGAATGAGTATATTTGTCATAATCTTTATCAAAGTATCTTTGACTGTCAAACTGTTCTTCGTGGCCAGATACCAGCTGCTCCGTGAGCCTCCAGGCCCAGAGAGAGACAGTAAGAAAGAGTCTTTGCTGGTCATAATAGTCGTAGTTTTGTTTTTCCTGCTCTTCTGGTGTCCAAGCATGCTCTACACGATTGTTGTCACACTGATAAGAAAACACGTCTTCTTCAGAAACGATGCATATAACCCTATGAAAATCCTATCCAGGACCAACGCTCTGTGCACTCCTTCACTGTACCTGTGGGCGAGCCCCTCACTCAGAGCGGCTGTGTGGAAAACTGTGTGGAGTAAAATCTGCTGCCGCAAAACAAACACACGGTTGGTAACACTTTTGTAAAGACACAAACCTTTAGATAATTACGTTTAATTGCTTAGAAGATAAAGAGATGTTTTTTGCTCCACATACATGGCATGATGGGAACATATCTGTGGGGGATTTGTTTTTTTGTATGCAAAATAACAAATAATCTATTGCTCCAGCAATAGGCCTATTTATTAAACACTAAAGTGGTAATTTTTGTTTTTGTCAGGTCTAGAAAAGTTTTGAAGAAGGATCTCGCCATGAGGTTTGTGAAATTATTTTTTTAAGTGTTTAACTTAGCCACACGCCAAACCTTTCCGTCAATTAGCAGAATCATTTAAATTTGCCTATTTGTATTAACTTTATTGTGTAATTTGGAGTGATTCTAGAAGAATGTTTTCTGTTTAATTGGTATTTAAGAAATGAAAATAGCAAGCAATTGTGTTTCTTTTAGCCTGATGTTTGTTTTGGTTGCTTTTTGTCTTGCAGGATGTGATTTATGATTTATGGATGGAATATTTATAATGAAACACAATCTCCACCACTGAGACATCGCAAAGACTCCAAAATAAACGATATAAAATTACAGGATCTCCTTTTTAATAGCTGGATGCGGAGGCATTTCCCTCCGTCATATGTCAATGTATGCTGTTCTTTAATAACGCATGTCGGTGATTTTTTTTTTCTGGAGCTATCAGTAGATCAGCATTTGTTTTTTTCTAATGTCCTATTTATTGTCACTTTTATTTTGACTGAGAACGGTTCTCGATGCTTTGCAGACCCTGCAACCTCCCCTCGACCCCTCGGTTTGAAGTTGGCGGAAACTTTTAAATCTAACTAAAAACTATTATTTTAACTGCTTCTTTTAATTAACCAGTTCGGTGTATCGATGTGGAATCTTTCAGTTAGTTTCTGTGGCACTTCGTAATCTGCATCATGAACGGTGCTCTAAAAGAAAAAACAAAAACAAAAAAAACATTTACTTTATTACTGTTATTATTATTATTATTTTTTTTTTATTTTTTTTTTTTTTACGAGCAATAATGTAGTGAGCTACCTGTATAATTATGGCTGATCAATAATTTTGGTCCAGAGATGACAAACGTTTCTCTTGTATATTCGAAATATTTAGTTAGTTAAAGCACACAATAGGAGATCAGAATCACTCCTAGCCTCAATTGCTTTTTGAAATAACAGGTTTTGCTTTTTAAAGCTGAAGTCTGTAAGTTTTTAAAAATCACTTTTTTGTCATATTGGCTAAAACTGTCCCTATGCCCAGACAGCAGTACATGTGATATGTAACCTGTGAAAAAAAACTGCTTCAATTGGTCCCGCCTACTGCCTGTATTTCAATCTGGAAAGAAAGACGAGTCAAAACAACCAATCACAGCCAGAGGAGCGTCTGATGGAGTGTCAATCACAGCTCACACACGCTGAATCCCGCCCCCCCCCCCCCCCCCCCCCCCCCCCCCCTTCTGGTCGCATGCGGTAGCCGCGCAGATGCTGTGAGAGGGGTGGAGCTTGGAGGTGGGGCATGAGGGAAGCAGAGAGGGTGGGGGAGTGGAGTGAAACCTGTTTTTCTTCAAATTTTCAGTCGAAGTCTGCTCTCTCCTCAATGTTACAGACTGCAGCTTTAAGACGTAAGACTGAACGTAGACTAAAATGTGTGTAACGAAATGTTAAAGAACAAAAGCGAAAATAAATGGGCATGTCTTCACTCCTCTATTTCATAAAACTGAAATGAAACTACTAGGGAATTGTTGAGATGCTTAAGATTAGAAAGGCCTATTCAGATGGTATTGGCATCAAAACACAAAGGTCTTTGCTATAGTTAGGGCTGGCTTCCTTTAACTTAAATATGAAATATAACTTTAGAGTGGAAAATTTGCACGTGACAGTGAACAGAAGAAAGATAAAGAAACACATGAGAGTGAGGGGAAAAATGGCAGTAGGCCTACTTAAGACCCGCAACTTCAAGTGACAAATGGGGAAATGGAATGTGATAGAATATTAGTTTTCCTTGAAACATATTTAGCTATTTAAACACGACAGACTGCTTTCTGCTTTCTGACTGCTCACTACATGGAAATGGGAACAAAAATAACCTGTAATAGCTTTTGACGCTTTTCTCAAAATACGTTTTACTAGTAGGACTATTTCTTCACCAAAATGATTAATTGCCAGGGAGGCAGCTGATCATTCAGCGTCTTGTAAATAAACGCATGACGCTGTGCATCATTTCCCGCCCATTCAATACACAGAGATCTAATCCTTCTTCCTTTTTGGTTATGTAAAAAAAAAAAAAAAAAAAAAAAAAAAATCGTTTCTTAGCAAACCTGCGGTTTTTTTTTTTTTAAAGGATTCTATATTCTTTACATTTTTATTTGTAAAAATCTTCTCAAAATGCTTGGATCTTATCCAATTTTAGAGATAAAAATTAAGATTACATTCGGTTTTATAATGGTTGTCTTTCAGATCCCAGGTTGCCCAACTGACTCGTATATTGCTTCTGTTTAGTTCGACTTCCCCTTTCTTTATTTCGTAAATGTAAAAAAAAAGAATGATAATATAGCCTACCTAAATCGTGTTTTTTTTGTGTGTGTGTTGAAGCAACGTATTTTCATAAATGGCGGAAATTGTTATAGAGGTTTTCCTGTTTTACACGAAGACTGACTAATTAGATTATATATTATCACTGCAACTTTGTATTAGGTTTTATTTCTAATCAAAACACCATTTGGGCCCTTTGACTTAAATATGTCAGGTCGCAACCCCTGATCAAACTGTTTTAGACACGCCATCATCCAGTGAAATTATTTTTTTCTTGAGCCATCCAGCTTTTCCCAAACCCTATCAGTAGAATGTAAAAAAATAACTAAATTAAAATGTATTTTCTTACTAAATGCGTAAAAGAAACAAACAAAAAACAAGATGCTCGAACTTAATAAAGACCATGTATTGAATTGAATAGCACTTCATTAGTAATTCGCCATTCCCTGAAGCATGGTTAAATGCTGCATAATAACCAAGTCGATGTATATAAATGAAACATTCTTCATCAGCTTAGACTCCCCGTTTTAACTTTACATAAAGTAAATTCTAAAAGCCTTTTCTTTTTAAAGTATCGAAACATTATCAGAACCAACAGAAGGTTATCATTTCAGCGAATTTGTTTCAGCACTGGACAGCGACCTGGCCGCTAATTTGGCGTGTTTTGTTCCCCCCAACATTAAGGTGACTGAACACAATAATTAGTAATGCATACATGTTGACAAGCGAATCTAATCCCTCAACACCAGCAGGATTAGATCTACATCTATAAAACAGACGCGATGTTTTTGCTTTGGTGGCAGATCATTTGGGGCGGCTTTCGCTGTACCTCCCCATTATGACCCTGTCCACCAATGTGACTTTTGTTCCTCTGTGCGTTGACTTTGACTCACCGGGTGACTACTTTCTTTTCATTTTTCACATCCTAGCGGGGATCAGCACCGTGCTTGTTGCGGGCTCCGTGGTCTGCGGCATAATTTCCACTCGGGCTCTTTTAATCCAGAATCGCTTTATATTTATGTTAAACACCAGCATCTCTGACACACTGACTGGATGTGGCATTTTCTACCAGTTTCTGTTTGATGTAAGGGAAGATTATCCTTCTAAAAACGGGAGTTACTATATTTTACCATCTCTTCTCGGGGTTAACATCATTACGTTTTTGTTTGCTCAGTTTGACAGATATTTTGCAGTTTGCCATCCATTCTTTTATGCTCGTTTTATCTCCACAAAGGTTGTTATCTGTGTGAGCGTCTATACCTGGGTGCATGTCTATGGTCAGTTGGTCCTCGAGCGTCTGGTCCCACTGTCTAAAGCTATGGAGATTGCAGTGTACAGCAGAATAAGCATTTTTATAATTATTATACTCAAAGTTTCTATGACTATTAAACTCTTTGTTGTTGTCAGATACCAGCTTCTCCGAGAGCCTCCAGGACCAGAGAAAGACAACAAGAAAGAGTCCCTGTTGATCATAATAGTGGTAGTTGTGTTTTTCCTGCTTTTCTGGGGCCCAAGCTTATTCTTCTCAATTCTGTCATCACTGATAGGGAGACACAGGTTATTTAGAAATGATGCAGTCAATCCTCTGAAAATCCTATCAAGGACCAACGCTCTGTGCACTCCTTCACTATACCTGTGGGCAAGCCCCTCACTCAGAGCAGCTGTGTGGAAAACTGTGTGGGGTAAAATCTGCAAAAGACGGAAAATGTTGTTTGGTATCTTAGTTTAAAACGCTATTAGAAAATTAAATTCTGGTATCGGATGAAATTTATTGGTGCAAAAGAATCCTTATTTCCCCTTTTCACTTTAGGGTCTACTTGAAAAGTCACTGTGATGCTTTTACTTTCAAACTGATTGTAGTTTCTTATGTCAGATAACTCCCTTTCAAATCCAGCTCTGTTTTACTGAAACTTAATGACAGTTTTGCTATAAATGGCTTTTAAACAAAACTAAATTAATTTCAAATGTTAGCAACACTGGAAAAAAATCTAAATCTAGATAAGTAATCTTTTCTTAAAATAATTGCATTTAATCTTGAATTGAGGAGGTAAAGGAGACTTTTGTCAATGGAACAAGACAATTTACACTTAAAATAAGTAAACACAATGGCATTGCTTTATTTCAAGTGCATTTTATCTAAATATGTTGTTTTAAGAGTTAAAAATACCAATTCCATTGGCAGATCATCTTATTAACCTACTCAACGTGAGGGTACCGCTAAATAAACTGAATTTAAGAAATTTTTACTTTTTCTAGATTAATGATTTTCCAGTGTGGTCTAAGTAAATCTTTTTACATTGATTTCATGTGCAAAGAGTAAAAAAGCCACATCTGTACTTGGTATTTGCTGGAGTTAATCCCATCAAAGAAAGGCAACTGCAGTCAGTCTGCTGCTGCCCACAAGAGACTTTTTGGCATGAAATTAGTGTAAGTAAAAAAAATGTGTAGGCATCATGTGTATGACAAGAGAATTTGATAAACACTGGTCTGCTGGGGCTCTTTAATTTTGTTCATTTCTTTTTCTTTATACATGTCCCATTTAACTTTTAGTTGTCTTTAACTTTAAGATGTGTATAAAGAATAAATAATTGTATTTATCTTTTGCTTAAAACTGAAACATGGTCTAAAATTATAATAGAACGAAAAATGTTCACATCAATTTCACATGACCTTTACCTTTTAATTTTAACATTTAACGAGCTCTCAAAGCCGAAATTTTCACTACTGCATTAACCTCACTTTGCAAGTTTATAGCTGCAATTATCTGAACAATATTTAAACAAATGCAATAAAACAGATTTGTTTAGCTTATTTTTGCCAGACAAAGCTGCAGGTTTTTACTTATACCAGTCATCGTCATTAAACCAATGAGCTTGCCAAACACTGCAACTGATAAATCTATAGCAAATATATCAACATGACAGTAGAAATTAAACACCAATTTTTATATGGCCAAAATATGGTCAAAAATGGAAACAAACACGTAGGTAAATAACAGAGGACACACAAACTGGATGTCAACTGACATAGAAGGTTATTATAAAATATTTATATGACTCTATTAACACTATTTATAATGAGGTTGATAAAACATGCTGCCATAGATCACCTGTTCGCCTGGCAGAACTCCTGCACATATTGCGTATCTACTGTTTGTGTCTGAGGTATTATTTTGGCTACAGCTTCTCTGCACCTGGCAAAGCCTCGTTTTTTACTTGCTGAACACTGGAGTCATAAAAGCATAGATTACCACCTGTTCCATCAGCATTAATGGCTTTCTGCCCTCCATAAACTCAGATCCAAATTCCTCTTTCATTTTCTGCAGAAAAATTTCATTGGTGCAGTTTTTGAAGAGGGCATGGTCTTTTACTCCTTCCAGGGTCAATGGGCCATCTTATCTCCACACACCATCACTCACTTCTAACCTGCCCTTAGTTTAATGTCTTTATTTTGACTCCACCATCTCCTTGGATGTTAAACAGACTGTCCACCAAGTCATCCTTTCCTGTGTCCGTGACCACCAAGGAGAAGGAGACCAAGGAGGCAATGCTTTGCCATCATCAGCTGAGGAGGCTCCCCGCCTTCTTTATATCATACTACAGTTGAAATAAATAAATATTGTAACATTATAATATTGTTATAATATTATAACAAATACTATATCATTATTATTTGTTGATATAGGATGTAAATCGCCAGGTTAGTCCAGCACATCAAAGCTTCTCTGATACTTCTATGGGTGATGGGCTGTTTGCTCTTTTGTCTGTATCTTCTCCAAGTCACTCAATGAAGATGAGAACTTTCGCTGCCAGCAGACTCATATATCAGGCTGGATTGTACCCACAGCCACCATTTTAGAACTCCTTACTATTTCTGTTTTAAAATAGGCCTATCCTCTTGCAGATTTCTTGACAGTAAACATTCGTAAATTGGCTCAAACTACATTTCGAGCTTCATATAAGGCAGTTATATATATATATATATATATATATATATATATATATATATATATATATATATATATATATATATATATATATATATATATATATATATATATATATATATATATATATATATATATATATATATATATATATATATATATATATATATATATATATATATAGGCCTAAATATGCTCAAATCAAAAACGATATGGTTCTTAGTGATCATATCGCCCTCTGGTGGAAACTCTGCACTTCTTCTTGTATATATACCCCTTTTCCACAACGTGAAAAACGTGTGTTGCCCCTTCTCAGTTTCAATTGTTCTTATTTTTTCCCATTCAAAACTTGAGGCAGGGGTTTGTTTTTATGATATTGAATATATAGAAATATTTTTTGTTTTGTTAATGTTGTTTATTAATAAATGCGTTCTTGTCATCTTGTGATTGAAGCCCCCATGAAAAAATGCTATATTATGAACCAAATTTCAAGTTCTACAGATTAAATGTTGTTTCATTTAAATGCTTATCACGATTGAATTATGTGTCTTAAGTTAGAAAATAGATGAGAAGAAAGTAGTTGTCTACAAAATAAACAAAAAGTAGTGCACAGACTAAAGACTAAAGTCTACTTCGGTCTGAAGTGGATTCAGAATTGGATTGCAGGAATATGTTTCGATCTGAACTATTCAACTGTACTTTAGTTTGTATGTCCGCAGCCCTACAAGTTGTAATGCAAAACATCTTACCATCACCTCCAGAGCAGCTTCTCAGTGTAATCCATTGATAGCTTTCCACACAACATAAGATTTTTCAAGTATAGTCTGAAACATATTTGATCTATTGGCTCTATTCTATTTGATCAGAACATACTATATTTCATTACTTAATAACCTGTGGAAGCCATAAAGTCAAATTTAAGCCAAAGATGTTCACAAGGTCTTTCAGGCATTGTTGCATCTTGGGATTTTATGCACATCACAATGTTTGATCAAAGGTTCACATGGATTTTTCAATACACAAGGCCTCACTCCCAAATACAGCAGCAAATGATTCACTCTAAGAGAATATGGCTCTAACTTAAATGGACTGCTTCAATTATTAACAAGTAATTGAAAGAGGTTGCATTCTAATCTAATGACCATGTTTCAACTTGTGAATTTATTAACTAGAAAAATTAAGTTGGATCGACATAATTGAGTTACCGGTTACAAAATTGATGCAATAAGGTAGCCAGGGATGGGTTAAATGCAGAGGCAAATTTCTCCAATGGGAGATCAATAAAAAGAAAAGTTTTATTATGCCTCAATGAATTTATCCTAGATACATCTGTCAATGTGATGCTATTAACTTACTTATTCTCCAACAAAACCTTTACAGAATGGCTAAAATGAAGAAAGTTGGTATCTGTAAATTTATGTGTGGCTGAACCAAAAAGGACAGCAAATTCTTTTTTATTTGATTTAAAAAAACAAATATGAATTTAAATGTAGATTAACTATATCTCCCCTTTTACCATCACACAGATATGGAAGAACGAATTGACATAAACCCTGAGGAGTTTATCTCCTGTGGCTTCCCTGAGCGTATATAACACTGTCTGTGTCTGAGCTTCATTAATGATGCTCCTGTCCAACATGACAGACTCTGCAGCAGCTGCAGCAGGAGTTCCTCTGGCTGTGGACTTCAGCAGCCCTGAGCACTACCTCATCTTCATCTTTCAGATCTTATTTGCCACTACAACAGTCCTGGTAGCAGGGACGGTGGTGATCGGGATCTCAGCAACCAGAGCGCTCCGCCTTCAGAATCGCTTCATTTTCATGCTAAACACCAGCATCTGTGACACTTTGGTGGGCTTCTCTGTGTATTATCTGGGCCTGTTTGATGTTCAGGAGGGCTATCCATCCAGAAACGGGACATATAACGCCTTACCATCACTGTTAGGGATCAACATACTGACTTTTCTGTTTGCTCAGTTTGACAGATATTTTGCTGTGTGTTATCCATTTGTCTACAGTCGTTTTATAACAAGGCCTGTTGTGATAGGACTGAATATTTACTGCTGGGTGTACAATGCCGCCCACCTGCTGGCGAGGAACATGCTGCCAATCTCCAAAGCAATGCAGCTTTATGTTTTCAGCATTGTCTTCTTACAGCTCATAGTGGTCACCAAAGTGGTCATGACCATCAAACTTTATGTCATAGCTAAGTATCAGCTGGAGAGGGACCCCCCAGGTCCTGACAGAGAGAGCAAGAAGGAGTCACTGAAGATCATTATTTTCGTTGTAATAAGCTTCTTGGCGCTGTGGTGCCCCTCTTTCGTGAATATTACCATCAAATTTTTCACAGGAGGGGGGCTGGTATTCAGAAACGAGGCCATGAACCTTTTTGCCATCTTGGCCCGTTTGAACGCCGTGTGCACTCCCTCTGTTTACATCTGGGGGAGCCCAGCTTTGCGGAAGGCCTCGGTTAGGACAGTGTGGGGGCGGGTGTGCCCTCGATGCCAGAGGAAAGTGGGTCATGAAAAATAAATGGATCTTTATTTGACTTAATTTCAGGTCATCATTTTTTAGGACAGGTCTTTGCAATAGGAAGCAATTAATAAGCATTGTTGATAAAAATTAATTTGATTAAAAAGGTTTTTCTCATTAAAGCTCTGATTCATTCGTCCAAACGCGGCTCTGACTGAAAGCAAATCCTAAGGTTAACAGAGACTTTGGTAGCCTTAAAAGTATAAAACCAGTTTAATTTTTCTTTAATTAAAATTGGAATCTTTGTCTATTCAGTGCAATGATGGGCCCACATATCAAAAGACATAAGCACGCTCAGAAAAAGTATTGTTTTGCCTAATGCTTACTCATTTTTCTAACTGAGTTGGACAAAATGCATAATTTCAATAACTGAGAGAACATTTTAAAAAGGCTGAGGATGGAATAACCTATGGTTAACTTGATTTCAATTGTGCTTGAAATAATGACAAAAATGTCTATAGGTCTATTTTTAAAATGAGCTCGCATTTTACAAAAAGT